CAGAATCCTCTCTCTACTAGTTGTTGCATCTTATCTTATTCAATGAAATAATCTTATGAAGAAATTAATTAAGTACCTTAATTAAGTAATTCAACAACCTAAATTCTTGGTTATTTCAGTTACTACTAAGGAAAACTCTAACAAGACACCTTTCCATCTCTTCAAAGTTGAAAACTTTTTTTAAAATAGTCTAATATAGGTGTATTTTTCAATCCTAGTTAAAATCCTCTCATACAAGATGAATCTAAAGTTTTTCCCTCACCACTGGTGCATGGGTTCCCAAAGAAATTGTTAAAAATTTGACTTTCAAATCAATAAGACTAACTTGCTAAGGCAGTCATAGACTGCTTACTCATGCAAGTAAGAAATTCCCTGTGGCAGATATTAAAAAGTAAAAATTAACTGTCTGGAGACTTGACTAAATAACAAAGGCTTTATCATTTATTGCTATTCTCAGCCTCTCCTAAGAGAGCTGCAAAATTGACATTTTATTTTTTCACTGACTTTTTGAAAACAAAAACAAAAACAAAAAACAACCCACAAACTTCGATCAAAGAAAAAGTCAACAAGCACTTATTATGTGCTGGGTCCTGTGCTAAGACTTTGACATACAAAGAAAGACAAAAACAACTCCAGCCCTTAAGAAGCAATCATTCTAAAGGGCAGACAACATGCAAAAAACAATATATATATATATATATATATATATATACACACACACACACACATACATATATGTACACATACATATAATATATGCAGTACAAATGGAAAGTCATCTCAGAGGGATGGACCGTAGGATAAAAGAGAGACTGGGAAAGACCTTCTTACTTAAGGAATTTATTTTGAAAAATAAAAAGATTAAAAATAAAAAAGCAAAAACAGGCTTGTTGCTAAGGACTCTGTGTGTGTGTGTGTGTGTGTGTGTGTGTGTGTGTGTGACCTGGGTTAAGTTGGCAAAAAGAGGCATTGTGAGGCAGTGAGTGGAAAGTACACAGGCCTGGTAGTCACAAGACTAGGTTTCTACAAGCTGTAGCTTTGATCAAATCACTTAATCTCTTTAGTTGTCTCCAGTTTCCTCATCTACAAAATGTTTGGGGAGAGAAGAAAAGTCTGAACTAGATGAATTCTCCCTTTAAACTTACATAATCCTAGGAAACATGGAGGTTGGGGATGGAGTGTGATTCCTATTGAAAAGAGTAGACAACTATACATTTGGAAAACCAAGTTCAAGAAAGTGGCATCCAATGGAGACGGTCATGCCAATGGAAAGTGTAAAACATTTCAGGATAAACAATGTGAATGGAATGGATTCCAAACCCTGAAGATCCATTAAAAAAAATAATACCCCAATTGGTAAAAGTTCAAAACTTCTGCCAAAAATAAACTGCTGGGAAAATTCTTACTAAAAAGTATTTCCAGGCATGAGATACTTCAGACCATGTTCTTTTGACCACAACAAGATTAAGATGCGGTCCAAAGAACTGGTCAGCTTGCATTGCTGCAATCTGTCATCATGTCCCTGAAATACCAGGTGTGTAGTCACATCCAATTCTTCCATGGTTGCATGAACACACCCACTGTGAAAGCTTTTGTAGTTAATCATTCTGCACTTAGGGTTTGGGGATTTTTTTCCCCCGGAGGTAATTAGCCATTAGACTTACTAAAAGACATTTTTCATGTCAAGGGGTCAATGGCTTCCAGGAAGGCAGGAGGGTGGGGCAGTAAGGGAATGAGAAAAGGAGACTAATTTGGCTCCACAAAGAATGGGAGAAATGACATATCTTGGATTATCAGTTATTGAAAACAAGTCAAACATTGGGCCATTTCTGAATGGCAAAACAACTGAATTTAGGTCATTTAAGTCTGGGAGCCAAGATTACTGTTCTACATGTCTATTTATTCTTGCCTGACTCTCACACTCAAAATAAGGAATGAGCAAAGAGGTTGAATCTCTAAGAGGGGAAGAGCATTTATTTTTGGCCAATCCTTGCTCTCACTAGAGAATCTTATTTGCGTATTAAAAATCACAACAAAAAGAAACGTTTGTTCCCTTACAATATATTCTTGTTCATAATTTTTTTTGGCACTCTAAATTAAACTAATATAATTTTAAATTATAGATTCCCTTTCTAATGGTAGATCCAAATTTCATCATAAATAGGGAAACCAATGCCTCTGACAATTTATCTACACAGAAGAAGGGACATTATATGGTGCTGTTGATGGAGTAATGGACTCAGAATTTGGAAGACTGGGTTCAAATCCTGCCTCAGGTACTTAAAAGCTGTATGACCTTCAACAAGTCCTTTAACTTCTCTGTGCCTCAGTTTCTTCATCTGTAACATGAGCAGGTTGGATCTGATAGCCTCAAGGTCCCTTCCAGCACTAAATCTATGATCCCGTTATTTGTGCGTATATGTTCATTTTTCATTCTTATGAACGTGTTGTGAAAACTTTTGTTAGACAAACAGGACAAGAATTTTTTTAAAGACCTTATTGATTTGGGAGCACAAAACAGAGCTCTGCATTCACAACCTGGCTCATTAAATTAAGAAGCAGAAGCAGGGCTGATGGCTGCTAGTCAGGCAAACTGGCCAACTGCAAATGTAAACAATGAAAGTAAACTATGAGGCAACTGGTTACAGCCAGGCCAGGGCCATGCTGGGGCATCTGATGTCCAAAGAGAGATACGCGTTCTGCTATAGCTGCTGAGAGCTGCAGGCTACAAGCTAATTATTCTTATCCACTTCCTTCTCTGGAGCCTATTACAATCATACTTAGGTCCTCCAACAAAGATAAGACAGTGAAAGAGGATGATTTCACACTAGAGGAAATATTCTCTCAAACTTTCAGCACCTATTTAAAAATAAAAGATTACCCCCAAACTAAATCTGATAGAATAATTACTGATTAAATCTTAACCACATCCTCCCTACAATAATGAGAATTTGTTCATTAATATGGAACAAAGTCTTATCAGCTTGTGAGGGGGTAGAATGTGTTTAAATGGGAAACAAATGAAGATCTGGCTGCTAAGGATGGTTATTTTCTGCTGTCTTTGAATCTTTAGAAAATGTGAGTGCATCTTATGACAAATAGGTATCTGATTCAAGAGCCCACAGGAATACAAAGTAATCCCTGATTATCCAGGTACTAACATACAGTATGTACATCGTCCAGGCTTGAGTTCTTCCTAATCTTTCTTTGCTCTGTGTCTAAATCTCTAACTGAAAGTGAATATGGGGCACTGAAAGATGGCCTTCATTTCATGAATGATGAAATATTCATAGCTTGTTTTCAGCACTGGTAAAAGATTTGCAGGGGAAAGATAATACAAGTATCCACTAAAATAAGGTTTTGTGCCTTTTCCTTTATTGCAGTTACCACATTCTCCTTAGCCCCCACCACTATATGTAATTAAGAATTAATTGGGGGGCAGTTAGGTGGCGTGGTGGATAGAACACCAGTCCTGGAGTCAGAAGGACCTGCGTTCAAATCTGGCCTCAGACATTTGACACTTAACTAGCTGTATGACCCTGGGCAAGTCACTTAACCCCATTGCCTAGCAAAAACAAAACAAAGAATTAATTGACAGTTGTGAAGGCTTTGGTATTGTCTATGTGATGGAAAATATTAGAATGAAAAATTGGTGGACCTTACTGTGGCATAGTGATGCATTCCAATAATCCAGTTACCCAAAAGGCTCAGGTGGGTGACTCTCTTGAGCCTAGGGGGTCTTGAGCTGCAGTGAGTGACGCCCATCAGGCATCCACCTGATATTAATAGAGTAAGCCAACAAGACTAGGGGCCACCAGCTTGCCAAAGGAAGGGGGAGAACTAGCCCAGATCAGAAACAGACAAGGTTAAAGCTTCTTTGATGATTATTATTCAGGCTATGCTCATGAGTAGCCCCTGTATTTCTAATCTGGGTGAGATAAAGAGACCCAATTTTTTTTAAAAAAAATGGTGGATCTGATGCATTTAGTCATTTCAGTAACCAAATCCAATCAATAGGAAAGCTAATATAACTAAAATGGGAGTGGACCAATTATTTCATTGGTAGATAGAATAAGAAAACTCCCTCTTCCAAATCAGATCAACACTTTGTCTGAAACTTAACAGTTTTAGAGAATTACCTGAAGCAATGAGAGATTAAATACCTTGTTCAGGACCACAGCCAGTCTCTCAGAGGTAAAATTTGACCCCTGGATTCCTGAATCTAAGGATAACTTTTTATCCATTCTGCCTAAACAGTCATTAAAATGCCCCTTCCATTATCACTCTTCCACCCTCCCCAAAAGAATCAACCAAATTATTGACTGAATGGCTTACTCAGTAGCCAGCCGCTTTTTCTGGTTGAAGAAAGGAAATGTAAATGAGGTCATCTTCTTCCCAGTTGGGGTATCTAGGTCAACCTTTAATGTACCAAATTGGCATCTATCTCTCACTCTTTAGCTAAAGCAGTTTTAAATTTAGAGCTTTAATGCATGAAGCATATTAAAAATCCCAGCATCCTCATGAAAGCACAGGACAGAAATGCCCAGCTACATAACTGATGAATGGAACCTTTATATGAACATCAATGCAGAAATTTGCATGGAGGCATTTGCTACATGGTGATTAATGCTGTAAATATTAGAGTGACAGATAGCATCCAATAGCTAGCCATTCTATTTTTGGCTCTGCCTTTGACTTGATATAAGACTTTCAGAACATCACTTAACCCCTTCTGTGCCTCACTGACCATCTGTAAAATGGAGGTAACCCTGTTTCCAATGTTTGTGGTTCAACTTAGGCTTCTCCAAGTCACAGATGAAAGGCACAATAAATGAGGATGGGATTAAAGCTGCTTCTAATAGCTGCAGGAAGGAAGGGCAGATGAGAAGTGTAAGCACATCTCTTCAACATTCTTTCTATACATACATTGAATCCAAATCAGAGGCTCTGTCTGCAAGAAACCAGCCCTTATGAACCCATTTTCCTGCTGGGAGCTTTACCTCGAGGACAGTAGATATCTGGAGCCCATCGGTTGCATTCATAATTGTCTGCTGCCTTTTCACAGGTGAAACACTTAAATCCACCAGGATATGGGGTGGCTACAAAAAAGACCAAGAAAAAGATTAGCATTTTAGGATGGGTGTGGAATCAAGTTTTATCCAGTTGGTAATGATTTTGTGTTCAAAAGGCATGCCCAGCTTTTCAGTATTTGTCATTTTTATACCAGTTTTTATGGATTCTTATCTCTAAGAGGGGAAGAGAATTTATTTTTGGCCAATCCTTGCTCTCACTAGAGAATCTTATTTGCGTAGCCTTTGTAGACAGAAGGTATGCTGGGTATTCAGATCTGGCCTATCAGGTGAGCATTCGGGAACATGCTTAGGGGCTTTTGGGAAGACCCACATTTTTCTGAAGAGTGAGAAGAGATTTGAAGAAGAGCATAAGACCTGCTAGACCCACCTAATGCTCAGCTCTATCCCTCTCAGGAGAACACAGAGAACATCACTAATTCCAAGAAGCCTTCTTCAGTCTACGCTACAAATTTCTTCACCCCCTATACCTCCATCTGGCTTCCTGAAGGGAGCTTTTAATTGTATCACATAGCTTTGAAACATAAGCTTCTAGAAGGCAGGTATTATATTGCATCTTTAGCACTCCAGGGCTTTGAGTTATCTTTCATACGTAAAGGTTTGCAATAGGACTGTCTACCACAAGGTTCCCTTTCCTTTTCATAAAAGCAGTTTTACTTATTGCTCATATTGTCAACAACCACTACATCATGATGGAAGAGGTTTAAATTCTACAAAACTGAACTCCACCATTTTTTCCCCTCTTGCAATTCTGGAAGGTATCCTTAACCTTTTCGTATGTATCATAGATCCCTTTGGCAGTCTAGCCAAGCCAATAGACTCCCCAGAATAATGCTTTAAAATGCATAAAATAAAATATATAGAATTGCAAAGGAGATCAATTATTTTGTAATATAGTTATCTATATCTACATCTATCTATACCTATAACTATACCTCTATATACCTATAGATATAGATTTGCCTATCTCTATATACATATAGAGATAGATATAGATACAGTTATAGATATGTGTATGTATGTATATATATGTATATGTGTGTGTTTGGGTATAAACAGATCTGTATCTCTCTATCTAGGAACAGGTTCCCCTGGTATTTAGAACTCTACATTTGGTGTCAGGGAGGCCCAAGTTCGAGTCTCAACTTCAGTTGCTGGACCTTGGGCAAGATACTTAATTCTCAGGCTCAGTTTCCTCAACTGCCAAAATGGAGATGGCATTACATATACTACCAAACTCACAGGAGTGTTTTGAGGATCAAAGGAGATGACATGAAAATTCTCGGTAACATTAAAGCACTATATAAATGTAATTTTCCCCACAAATTCCCCAGAGTAATTGAAAGTTGCAAACTCTCGAAATACTGCAGCTACAGCAACCTATTGTCCTCCTTTGCAGATGGCTGAGTCATACTCCTGAAATAATCATCCTCCTGTAAATTACTTTGCCCACATGGAACCAATTAAGAATGTTATTGACCATAAATGAAGGAGGAGGCGGCTGCTAAAAGCCAATGTTATGAGCCAGATATAACAGATTTTCACCTTGCCCAGAGTAACTATCCATTCAAGCACAGAACTGACTGTGAAGACATCTGATATGATTAAAAAGGAATAACACTAACAAAAGCACTTCATGCAATCCTCCTGGCTGGTCCATGGCTCAGTGTACCGCTAACCATTTGGTAACTCTCTTACTATTTTTTTTTTGATCCAGTATCCTTTACTGGACTTTTTCTAAGCAAAAGCTGGATATTGCTTGTTGCATTTGTTGTATTCAGGTTCATGTTGTATGAGATGGCCTCTGAGGTCCCTCCAAACTCCAAAACTCTGCGATCTTTGAATGATCCATGATTTTATCATATTCATGTTCGCTCCACGAAGACAGACTGCCTCTCCTTGTGTCAGTTGGCCTCCTGGCTGTAGTTGAAAAATGCATCATCCGGAGGCCAAGCTTCTGGTGATGTGCATCTCTGAACTCTGACATGGGTTCTCAGACAACATACATAGATTCCATTGCCAGGCCTGAACTTGAAGCCTTGCCAGCTCAGGAGGACAGGTCAGAGCTTGTGCTGTATTTGTATAGTCTTCAAGAACTCCCTTGTTACCTGGAGCTATGATGAAGCCTTAGAGGGGGATCTCAGGACTTGGAAACTACAATTTCAAGGTGATGATAATAGGAAAAGATAGTAACTGCCTCTCCACAAGTGTGGATTGATTTCAACTAATTTGATAAAGAAAAGATTATTTTGTGTATCTGTGCATATACAGTTTACATTTTTCTGTCAGTCACTTATTTAAGAGGTGGATAGTGCTTTAAAATAGAAGAGACCATTCCATATGGACAAGTCCACACTGGAAAAATTTACAACATGCAAGTTCGCAAATTCATATAATATATACGCTTTTGAAATTCACAGAGGACCTTCTATTTTATGTACTATCTGAAAAGTGCAAGGCACAGCATCTCTTACAGAAGAATCATTCTATAAATATGCTTTGAGTTTAATTGAATCAAAAGAAAAACGAAACAAGGAATCTTGGGAATGTGCTCTAATTTTAGAAACTTAAAAAAAATTAGTTTGGCTGTCCAAGCTTAAATAACAACCATGAAATAGAAATGATCCTAAAGGACACAGGATCTTTAACATTCTGCTTATGTAATCTAAAGAGAAACTAAGAAGGAGGTTTGAAAAATATGTAAATGACATGTCAAGGGACAGCATTCCTCTCCAAGTGATCATCACAGTCGCCAAGCTTTATGGCTGCAACCTAGCCAAACCACTTCAATCGGCATGATAAATTCACTGGGGCGTCCAATTGTATCCGTCTGTCACTGCAGCCAGTGAAAGGCTGGCTAGAATGTTGGATTAGGTACTCCTGGACCCTTTCCCACTCAAGAGATAAGTTGAGAACTTTGAATGAAGATTGAAGATCCAAGTGCACTGAGAAGAAACGTATTGAGTACCTGGCCATTAATAAAGCACAGTATGCATATTTGTGGGTTATTTAATGGAATCTTAACCTCTAGATTCTCTCAGCAAAACTCTGGTAACACTTTAGATTAAGTTGAATGGGTTTTTCCAGATGCTGTCATCCTTTGCCTCAGCAGGCATAAGCTCTGAAAGTAATATAACCTCAGCAGAAATTCAAAGAGGAAAGTGAGCTGAGAAACTGTATAGGGGAAGGGATCTATGCCCAGAGCTCTTATCTCTGATTGGATTAAGTTAAGCAATAGATGTGTATATCATGAATGTGACATGGTAATTGCCCAGAAGAGCTCCTTTTTGGATATTTTTATATTATAACTTTATATTATAATATTATAAATTTGCACAAGTCACATTGGATTTTCCATAGCTATAATTCAAAACCTACTTGTTGGTACAATTGTTACTCGCTCTTGATAGTACCAATTATCAAAACAAAGCGATAATTAAGCCTTTATGACTATTCTATCCTCTCCAGTGACCTCTATCCTATGCCTTGTGATGGATTTGTAGGTATCATAAGTGACCAATTCCAGCCCAGTACAGAGAAAATGGCTAAATCCTTCCTTTAGAAAGGATTTTGATGAAAATAAATTCTATCTTGGGCCCTGTATGTGAACAACTCTCTCCTGTAATGTGCAAACTGATACTACATCTGATAAAGAAAGGGGAAAAAGGAGAGGGAAAGAGGTTCCTAAGAGATGTACCCTATTTTCTCTTTTGTTACTTCAAAGCAATGGCAGAGCATGGAGAGTTGCAAATCACTGTTGCCACAGCTGTGAATGAATCTAATTTGGCTCTTGATCACAGAGTTCATAAGCTTAGTACTCACTATTTCAGGGCAGAAGTCCTTGGTCCCTCAAGAGAATATGATTATAAAGCAAGAAAAGAAACTCCAGAGTGCCCAGTTACTTCCTGTAACATTATCTTCCCATTAACTCCCATGGTCAGCAGTGGTTCAACCTGCCATAATTCATTTGTAAGGCTTTGGAAAAGATTCAGGCTTTGTTTGAATCTCTTGTAATTTCTAACTGGGCAATGGACAAAGGACTTTAGTTACTGAAAACTGCTGAAAAAAGGAAAACTCATTTTTAAACGTGCTGATACGGAAAGCATATACACTTTAAAAAAAATTCTTACAAAAATTCATTTCCATATTTCTCAGAACCAGGATATAAATATCAAAATGGAAGAAATCTAATCTCTGCCTATTCCCCTCTCCATATACTTGCCAAAAAGAAAAGAAATATTCAACCTAATTTTAATAATACATGTTTTTGATAGAATGAAGGCTATTGATAAATTTAATGAAAATTTTCACTCTAAAAGTCTTATACTGGTTTGTGAATACATTTCACTGGCCTTGTGCATGGTGATGATGATGACATAAAAGTAAGTATCATGCTAGAGCCAATTCTGTCACGTCCATGCTCAAAAGAGAGGTTTTCAACATTTGTCTAGAGAAAAATTAGGCATTCTGAGAAAAATTTCTCTTCCAAGAAAAGAAACAGCATCATAAAAAATAGCTATGGTCATTTAAAATATCAAAATCATCTATCCTTTATTCAATCAATCAATCATATATATTAAGCACCTATGTGCCAGGCACTATGCTAAGTGCCATTGAATTGACAACCAAAAAATTAGTTTCTTGATCAGCGAGGTGGTTCAGTACATAGAATGCTGGGCCTGGTGTCAGGAAGATTCATCTTTGGAAGTTCAAATGTAGCCTCAGACACTTACTAGCTGTGTGACCCTGGGCAAATCACTTAACCCTGTCTGCCTCAGTTTCCTCAGCTACAAAATGAGCCAGAGAAGGAAGTGGTAAACCAATTCAATATCTTTGCCAAGAAAACCCCAAATGAGGTCACAAAGAATTAGATATGACTGAAACTACTAAATAAGTAGTACCTTTGTTCTTAACAAGCTCCTCTTGTGAAATATTTTATTAAACCAAGCTTTGTCATTTTGAACAAGAAAATATAAAAAACAAACAATCCAACAAATTATATATTACAGTGTGTTTTATAATAGTTCCCAAACTCTGAAAGCCACAATGTTTGTTTGCTTATTTACAGAGCCTCAGAAGACCTGGAAATCAGAGAATGAAGAGTTGTGAAGATAATAATTTAGAGATAACATTCAGAAAGCACTGTGACATTTAGGAACCCTTCCCATGTCTTCTTCTCTGATTTGATTCTCACAACCACTCTCTGAGCTTGGCATTAACCTTCTTTACAGGTGAGAAAACTGAGCCTTCAAGAGGTTAAGTGATTTGCCCAGGGTCACACCACTAGCAAGCATTTTAGGTGGGATATGAACCTTTTTGACTCTGATTCCGGATTCCAGCCACCCAAATGCCATGAGAGAAGCTCTGGCAAAGTAAAATTTTAAATCTTTTCATTCCAAAATAGCACAGTCTTTGAAGAATCAAAATCAAAGGTGAACTAAAAGACAATTAAGAGCCTCATAGTGTGCACAAGGAGGCCTTAGCACATTAGCAATGATGCCTTAAAGGTAAAGAACTATCATTAAAAAAACATTAGGGTCATGTGTGACTGGATAAGGAGGTGCACTGGCCATGTAGTGAGAAAAGGGAATAATAAGTGGACTGTCCAAGTGATACCCTGGAGTCCATGAAATAGTAAAAGATCTATTAGGAGGCCTCTAGTATATTGAGTAGATCATCTATATAAGATAGTGAAAGGCTATGGATAAGAATGGCACAAGATGAGAAGAAGAATGGCACAAAAAGAGAGACCCTCGCCTCCACAGAATTATGGATCCATCAAACCAGTGAAGTTCCCTTCTAATGTTGATCTCAATTATTACTATCAATTATTAATTAATATTAATGTTCAGTGCTTGTGCAGAATAGATCTACACTGGATTAACTCTAATTCAGTTCTCAGCAAAAACCATGTAATCACCACACTGCAGAAACTGACATCACCATTGTTCCTCTTGATCAAATATGTGGTTAACACCTCATGTTATTTAATTCTGGCTGAGTAGCTGTCCCCACAGAGAATGGGCTAACTTCACTTGCTGACTGAATCTATACCTACAAAATCCAGAGTTAGGGAAATTTAAAAAATAATTAAAAATCAAAATGAAAGGCAGTATGGTCTAATTGATAGATCATGAGATTTGAAGTCAAGGAGACCTGGATTCAAATCCCACTGGCTTTGTGACCTTGGGTAAATCACTTAACCTTTCTGTGTCTCGTTTCCTTCATCTGTGAAATGAGAGAATTGGATTTAATGGCCTCTAGAACTTAGCACACTGACAGGAGTATAGTAGGTGCTTAGAAAATGCTCATTGATTTCACGTTAAGGTTCCATTCGGTTCTAGATGTATGATCCTACAAAAATAATGTATCTTTTGCATGAAACACATCTGTTAGAGTTAATATGTAGAAAGCTATCTATTTACAGATAAAAGTACCTCTAAAAATGGTTAAATGTATCTCTATCAAGTATACAGAAATATATTTAAGACCATCCAGAACCTAAAGGGTACAGACATCTTCAAAAGAGGACTTCTACTAATGACATTGTCATTGTGTCTAATTAATCATTGACCAGGTGGGAACAGGTTTTTTTGTCTTTCTCTGGATTTCAAAATCATATCAGAGAAATTTTCAAGGTCATCACATCTCACAATTATCTTACACCAGCTTCACCATTTTATTTATTTATTTGTTTGTTTATTTACTTTTAGCCTTGGGTTATTGTTGTTGTTCAGTTTTTCAGTTGTCTGACACTCTGTTGACCCCATTTGGGGTTTTCTTGGCAAAGGCACTGAAGTGGTTTGCCATTTCCTTCTCCAGTTCATTTTATAGATGAAGCAACTGAGACAAACTGGGTTAAGTGACTTGCCCAGGGTCACACTGCTAGCCAGGGTATGAGGTCCATTTGAACTCAGGTCCTCCTGACTCCAAGGCCAGCATTCTATCCGCTGTGCCATTTAGATATCTATCTCTTCAATAAACAGGGCTACTGTGATAATCAAATGAAATATGGGGTGTAAAGTGCTTTTCAAAACTTAAAACACCATATCAATAGGAACTTAGTATTTTCATCATTAGTAATTCATTCAAAAACTGACACGCCAATCAGCAAATGTTCAGGTCTCCTCAGAGAGTTTATAACTTGTAAATGATGGAGGCAAAAGTGATTTAGGGCCTAAATTATTGAGATGATTGTTTCCGTCTCCTCTTTATTTTATATGGGTAGACACAACCTTGGAGAAGATTTAGCCTGGGGCCTATATATTAGAGTAGGCATCACTAAGCATGTCATGTTGCTACACCTTCTTACTACTGAATCTGTATGTGCAGGTGTCAAAGTGTCTTTTACAAACACATACTCTGGGTAAAAAAATGAACTGAGTGCTAAAGAAAACCCTGACCCACACCATTCCTTATTACAAGGCCTCATTGTATGTGGAACTGACCCTGAGCTATACTAGGTACATACAAGTTCTGACAGGTCCTATCGAGCTGAAGGGTTTTCATGTACAGGCCAAACCCAGGACTATTTGTCTATTGTCTAAGGACCAGTTCAACTAAGTTTAAAGAGGTTCATACCAGAAGGTAATGAATTTCTTTCATACACAATTCGTGAAAATCATTGTTTAAGGCATAAAATAGTTGTGTTTTGTATAGATGGATTTCCCATCATATTGAGATTAAATATAATAGGAAAAATATCATTATTTAGGTAAAAGGACAAAATGCAGTCTGGAAAAAGGAAAGCAAGCTTTTAACTATCTTCTCCTCCAAGTACGCTACTGAAAAGAAATTACCAACCCTATAAAGCTAAGCAGGGTGGCTGGTATCCCATACAATTAACTAATATGCTTCAGGTTGAATGAAATCAGATGCAAGAAGACAACATGCTCTAGTGTTTTTTGGACATTGAAAGTGTACCTGGTACTATACAAAATAGAAGTGAAACAATTCAAATTCCTTCAGCTAACCATTTAAACTAAACCATCAAATTCAGATCTAAATTACATTAAATGAAGTATCATGGAAGTCTCTAAACATTTGGGATTTCAGAAAGCATTGACAAATGGAGAATGTGTTTACAGGCAGGGAAGACAGCAATAGAGATGAACACACACACACACACACACACACACACACTCAACTTTCACTATGGGGGCATCAGAGAATAATAGTCACTAAAAATCAGATATAAACTAACAGAAGCAGTCAGGCACTAAAAATGTAGGCTGAATGAATAAGGAAGGAAGGCAGAAAGGAATAAAAGAAGGAAGGAAGGCTAAAAGGAAGGAAGGCTGGAAGGAAGGAAGGAAGGAAGGAAGGAAGGAAGGAAGGAAGGAAGGGAGGGAGGGAGGGAGGAAGGAAGAAGATATCAAGTTCCTACAGTAGGAACAGGACTAGGCTCTAGGAATACAAATGCAAAAGTGAGACATTTCTACCCTCAAGGAGCTTATATAGGGAAATAGTGGCCAAAGAAGAAAGTTTTGGTCTGGGAAATCTTCACAAGGAAGGTAAATAAAGTGATCAGGCAGTTAATTTCACAGTCCCTTTCTAGTAGCAATGGTAGCACCAATTTGATCAATGCCCACAGAGCAAGGTGAAGCACTGGAAGAGCAGGAGAGGTATAGCACACACATGGGACAGGAAGGAAGACAAGATGCTCATGCTTGGTATGCCCTGGTTTCTTGAGGGATGGCAGAATAGAATATGCAGCATGGTCTGAAACCAGCTAAGTAGAGTGATTTAGATGAGTTCTCCTTCACTGATCAGAATAGCTCATTCCTAAGATATAAGCTCAATACATAGGAATTGAAAGAATAGGGAAAAGATGGTGATTGGTGTGAAAATATAATGAGAAATTAATGAAAACAAGGAAGTCTCCTGGTTGTAAAGGAATCAACCTCTTGAAACAACAGGGGACATAGCAGTCCACTTGGCTAAATAACTAAAGTTTAGGGTAAAAAAGAAGGGTATTTGAAAGCAGACTGATAATAGAGGAGAGAAAATGAACAATAATTTGCTTTAAAAACAACCATCACCACCACCACCACCACCTCAAAGTGAGTTTGCCTTCCTTGTGGAAAAGTAGACCTAAAAAATAAAGCCACCATTGTATCATCAACCTAAACCAAGTGAAGGTTGCCTCACATTGAAGGCTGTCTTGTCCTGGCTATTTTTTTACATATTTGCTACTTGAAAACAAGTGACATCCTCTCTCAAACATAGGAAATGTGATCTTACTTGAAGGGTGGAGGTAGATAATATCTTTCACCGTAAAGTCTCTGGACTGGGCAGCTTTCAGACAGTCGGCCAGAAGGCTGAGGAGGAGTGCCCAGGCCAGTGCAGGCCAAGGTTCCATTGCAGACTGGGGCCTCACTCATGCAGAGATCCTGGGATCAGGTGCTCCTTATTGGTGGAGAGAAATTGCAACTGAAATATGAAGAAAGACATCCCATGAGCACGCAGCCACCAACACATCTCAATATCCAGCATGAAAAAACCACTAGAGACTTGGCTAAGTTCCTGGCATTGGGTACAGCAAAAGAGGTTAGGAAGAGAAAAAGGACAGAGGGCACATGGGAGTGGGACAGAGAGAAGGGAGAGGCCTTCTAAGATGTAATTCTAGAGCACTTATAAAATTCCAACCCAAAATGTCTGCTTAATCAGGACTACTAAGGTTCCCTTAGTAGCCGTCACCTCTAAAATCCCATTGAGATTGTATCAGGAGAGATTGAATTTTCATGAAACCCAGCTAGTTCTACCTTGGAGGCCAGGAAACAGTTGCCAGAGCGAGACAACAATTAAGCTAGTAACTAAAGTTCAGAACAATTTCCTGGCTAATGGCATGGCCCTAGCACTGCAACTGCATTTTGCAGTGGAAACTTAGATATGGGAGGCTTTTAGACTTGGGAGAAAAGAAGCATGGTGGATGTTGGTCCTCAAACCATAAATGTGCCATTAATCACAAGATTATTCTACTATTAGGACCAGTTTTCATTTTTAGAAAGTAGATTTAATAAAATTAGAGCAAAATTGAGTGGAAAATTTAGGCAATTCTCTGGATGACAGTCTGCAAACATTTTCATATAAAATGAGGACTTGGGCTTGACCTCACTTCAAGTTTTGTTATATAAAAGTTCTATTATCCCTTCATCCCTTTCTTTTTCAATATGACCGATCCCATCTGTTTGCCAGTTGTCTAATTAGATTGGGAGATACTTGAAGGTAGGGATTGCCTTTTGCCTTTGTTTTTGTATCCCCCGCACTTAGCACAGTGCCTGGCACATATGAGGTGCTTAATAAGTATTTATTGTGATTTGCTCTGGGATCTTGCACCTTCAAGCAGAAAAATAGGTCCTGTCCATATCTCCTTTTTCCTCCAACAAAAAACAAGGCTACCACTTATACGTTTGCAAGCACGGATCTTAAGTTTTATTTAATCTCAAAAGCAAAGTACAGAGCCAGTTTCTCTAGGATGACATTTTTCTGACATGAATTTTAAATGTCTTGGGTTCAGCAGGAATCCAGGTCTTTTTATCGGTCATAATTCTATCTCTTAATTTTAAATTTACATGACTTGTTAGAAGAAATTTAGTAGCTAGGATGCAAACTCATTTTACTCATAAAGTGATTGCTTTTAAGAGAATGGTTTTTATACCTGAGTTCTTTCTCAGTTTTTTCTGTGCAAATATGGAGTCATGTTTCCCCCCAAATGAAATAGTGAAATAAACTCCCCCAAACATTAAGAGTTCTTTGAGACTTATATGGTCTGATGCTGAGTGAAGTGAGCAGAACCAAGAGGACTTTGTACACAGTAACAGCCACATTATGCGATGACTGATATTGTTAAACTGAACTGTTCTCAGCATTACAGGGATCTAAGACATCTCCAGAGGCCTCGGGATGGAAAATGCTGTCCACATCCAAAGAAAGAACTATGGAAGTCGCATCGCTATCACTTATTTTTACCTTCTGTTGAGTTTTGTTTCATCTTTCTGATGGTTCCTCCTATTGGTTTTAACTCTTACTTACAACTTCACTAATGTGAAAACATGTTTAATAGGAATGTAAATGTAAAGCCTGTATCAGATTCTGCGCCATCTTGGGGAGGGTGGGAGGGAGGAAGGGGGAGAAAAATTTTCAACTCAAAAGCATATGAAAGTGATTGTTGATAAATCAAAATAAATTAATAAAATTTAAAAAAAAGAAAAAAGAGTTCTTTGAAACTGAACAGATTCAATGCTTAGCAAAGGTGTATTTTTCTATTCTTTTATATGTTTTCTTTTCATCTACTTCTCATCATCTACTTGACAAATGGTAGTTTGGGTAGATCTTACATGGCAAACTCCTATCATAAAATTGTTCTAGAGAGAATGAATAGATAAGAGATCTTTCCCACATTATTACCTGGGCTGAATTTTACATCTCCCCTTTCCATGGGGAAAACAGGATGGATGAGGCAATTTACTCGTGAGACCCAAATAGAATTATACACACTTTCACATTGCTTATAAAATGCCATTTATGTATATACAACATAATCTTTCAGGATATTGCTAGTAAAGGCAAAACAAATGATGAACAACAATAAAAGGATTTGGAATTAGTCTAAATATAGTCATTAAAAATGTGGTCTGCAAAGAAGTATATTGTCTATGGATTTTCAGTGTCACCAGAAAACTATGCTAGATGGAATTCCAACTCCCAAATCTCACAACTGGGATTCTAGGGAAACTCAAATTATATAAAAGATTTTCTGAGGGGTGCTTTGATATTTTCCCTCAAGGGACACTGTATCTTTTGGGTGTTCTAGACATTTTGAAACTTCTGTTCAATTTCTGCTCTTGAATGCATATATTATTTGAGCTTATGCCACAAATCTTTCGTACCTCCTCACAAGCAGAATTGGAAACGGGGACTCTGATTTCCACAGTTCTCTGACTTTTCATTTGTTATTTATGAGCTTTTGCAAATCGAATGCTGCTCTGATAGATTTAATTTGTGCTCCAAATTACCTTTTCATGACTTACCCAACTGCTGACTTCATTCCTATTGAGACTTGCCACATTCTGAAGCAGCACCTCCTTTTTCCACCCCATATCTCCCCACCAAAAAAAAGTTCAAGGCCTATTTGAACTTCATTTTCATAGATAACTTCAAAATCAGAACACAGAACACATTTATTCCAGATGTTATTTCACTTAATAGGTGGGAAGAGCAAATTGTAAAAGGAAGCTAGGTAGCACAGTGGGTAGAGCATTGGGCCTGAAGTCAGAAAGCCTGGAGTTCAAATCTATCCTCAGACATTTACTAGCTATGCAAATCTAGACATGTCACATAAGCACTGCATGCCTCAGTTTCCTCATGTATAAAATATTAAAATAATGATGGTACCTTACTCTCAGAATGGTTGTGAGGATAAAATGAGATGATCTGTAAAATGCTTTACAAACCTTAAAGCACATAAATGCTAATGAGTATTAGTTGTTGCTGTTATTATGATGATGATGATGATGCACGTACTTTAGGGGAAATCCAACAAATTCAATGCAACAAACGTCAGCAAAGCACATAACATATGGAAGGCACTAAAGTAGTCCCTGGGAATTCAAAGAAAATAATTAAATACTCCATGTCCTCAAGGAGCTTACATTATATTGGAGTGATTTACTTATATGTATGTAATGAACATACACATAAGTAAATACAAAATGTAAGAACATGGAGGACTATGTAAAAAAGTAATCTAGGTAGAAGCCAGAGTGCTAAGTACAGAGAACGGCTAGCTGCCCAGTTTGACAGCGATAGATAATGCATAAGGTAGAGCAATGTGAAATAAGACTAGAAATAAAGGTAGGAGTCATATTGTGGAGGGCTTTAGAAGGCAGGTTTAGAATTTACTATTTTATTCTAGAGGCAAAAGAGAGCCAGCGAAGGTTTTTGAATAACAGAGTGATATGTTCTAGGCTATGCTTTGGCAGTTGCATCAAGCCAATAAGCATCTATTAAGCACTTCCTATGTGCCAGGTAGGCAGCTAGGTGGTGCCATAGTGCCCAGAGCACTGGACCTTAAGTCAGGAAGATTCTTCTACCCTCAGACACTTACTAGCTGTGTGACCCTGGGCAAGTCACTTAATCCTATTTGCCTCAGTTTCCTCATCTGTAAAATGATCTGGAGAAGTAAATGGCAAACCACTCCAGTATCTCTACCAAGAAAACCCCAAATGGTCACGAAGAGTCAAACATGACTGAACGATAGAAAAATGTACCAGGCACTGTACTGAGCAATGCAGATGCAAAGAAAGGTCATTGAACTCAAGGAGCTCACATTCTAAAGGGTGAGATGACATGTGAGAAGTAACAAATATTCAGACTTGATTGAAGGTAGTATGAAAGGAAAAAAACACCAGCCACTGGGGAGAGGAGCAAAGTCTTTCTGTAGAATGTAGCTCTGGAGCTGAGTCAAAGGAAGCCAAGGTGAAAAGTGGGAGTGTTCCAGGTATGGGGGGCACCCTGAGCAAAGGGAGAGAGAATGGAGGTAGAGTATCCAGTGCAAGCAACAGCAGCTAGAACCCTGTCGGTGGATTGTAGAGAGTGGTGGGGGTGGGAGGTAGGGTGTGGGGAGCAAATGGTAAATTGTGGTGGAATATTATTGTGCTCTAAGAAATGGCAAGCAGGATCATTTCAGAAAAACCTAGAAAGACTTGCAGGAAGCGATGCAAAGTGAAGTGAGCAGAACCAGGAGAACATTGTACACAGTCACAGCAATTTTGTTCAAGGAAGAACTGTGAATGACTTAGCTATTCTCAGCAATACAATGGCCCAAGACAATCCCAAAGAACTCATGATGAAGCGTACTATCCACCTCTAGAGAAAGAGCTGACATTGATTGAATACAGACTGAAGCATGCTGTTTTCCGCTTTCTTTCTTTCATTCATTGTCTTTTATTTGAGTTCTTGTACAAAATGACTAATATGGAAATGTTTTATGTGACTGCATATGTATAAGCTATATCTGCTTACAGTCTTAGCGGCAGGGAGGGGGAGATGGGGGAAGAGAGGAAGGGAAGGACTGAATTTGGAACTGAAAACTTTAACAAAAACTAAATGTTAAGAATTGTTTTAAAGTGTAATTGGGGAAAATATATATGTGTGCATGTACATGCATATATGCACATACATAGAAACATAAACACATATATGCACATATACAAACATATTTATGTGTATATACATGTGTATGTTTATATGTGTGTATATATATGTATGTATGTATGCATATGTAAAACAGAAAAAGTAGTAAGGGTCCATGTGGTAAGGAGCTTTAAATGCCAAAAACAGGATGCTATATTTGATCCTGGAGGTAACTAACCATAAGCCACTCATATTTATTCACGGGAGTATTCACAGAGTATTACATGGTCAGTATT